TTTGCCGCCGCGGTGACCTTTCGTGTAACTGTAAACCGGTGGATCTCGACCTTTCTTGTCCATGTACCCCAATAGCCCGTTAATTGTTTCTCCTTATATTTTTGTACGTGAATTTTATAATTACTGCGTTAGATGTATACGGCCCTTATAACCGAGCGCCATAAAAAAACTAACCGTAACTAAAAGCGAATTACTTATTTTACGTAAATAACAATAAATTTAATCGAGTACATACATTTATTTATTATTATTTGATAAGTATATTATATAAAAACACGCGCGTATTCGAATGCGGCGTTGTATCAAAATTTCAAAGGAATTCTCGTAGCCCGACTAAAATGTGGATACCGAAGGTTCGTTTACACTAAAGTAAAATAAATAAGCGTAAAAAGAAAACCCATTGTTTATTCTTTATCGGCAAAAGTTCTAATCTCGCGCGATTTCTTGGGTTAAAGTTACGATTTACGTATCCGTTGTGGTAAAAATTTCTATTCGCTTCTTTCCCGAGATTTCGAATATTCGAGTACAAAGTAGCCTGTTTCCACTTATTTCTAGTTAAATAATAAAGAGATTAGGGAATTAGGGACACGAACAAAACCCTGCGAGGCTAGGGACCGAACCCACCTCTAGCCCAGTACCAGGGACCGATTTCTTAGTAATATTAGAAGTAATAAAGGCAGAAATTTTTCCGGTCGAACGACAATGACCGAAAAGTTGTAAATTCCCGCGGACACCCGGTTCTAAAACGAATTACCGTAGTTAGAAAACAAACGACGGACCATCTATTAAGTCGAACGTATTTAGATTCTTACAGCCGCGGCGAGAAAAGTTTAAAATTTACGACCGTCCCGTCCGGAGTTTCTCGGGTCCTAGGGCTTATGGAAGTCCAACGGGGCCCCAATTTTTGTTAGATTAAGAATCTTTATATTGGAGTTTAAATTCATTTTTGATAACATCAAAATCGAAGTCGAAATATATTTATTTACGAAAAGATGTCGAATGACAAACTTTATAGTTTATCTTATTTAAAAAACGCGAGAAATAAATATTTACGTCGATTAATTACCGACCAATTATCTCACATCGATTACAATAAAACAAATAATACTATAAATTATAATTATTATTGTATTACGAATATTAACTAATTTTTCCTATACCGCCAGCGCTCGTTGTTAACGATAAAAGTATTAAAAATTTACGATAATAATTCAATTTTTGTGGGCCCCGGGGCTTAAGCCCTATTAGCGCCTCCTTTGAGGTATACTAGCGACGCGACAAAAGAGGCATTAGACGTTAACCATTATCGGCCGCCGCACACCTACCGGGACCACCTACGTACCATTTATACCCGAAAGACATTGGAATGTTTATAGTTTTCTAAAGTTTATAATACCTTTGTTTTTCTAAACGGGAGAGGTTTTTCTCGGTTTGCCGAATTTCGTCCATGGGAAGAACGACAAGAATGATTTATTCGCTATTAATCGCCAGCTGATTTACGTACCGACGTTTTCTCCGTATTAGAGTTATCCGACATTTAAGTAACTAGCGGAAGAGCCCGGCGAAAAAATAACAACGGCGCAGATTAAGATTATTAGATTATTTCGTACTTGTAACCTTTCTATTATATTATAGTATTTGGTTTACATTTACAAAGGCCGTCTTACCTAAGAGTTTATTATACCGAGTGCCCAATTTAAAAAATTTGTGTACGGTAGAAGAATAAATATTTTTAAAATGTGTTAGATCGGTCACTCGGCGCGATAAACCGTTGCGTAAATCAAACACTATAAGAAACATTAAAACGAAAACCGTATAAAGAGTTTGGATATTTCGGCCTATCGACGTCGGAGGGTACGAAATGGCGCACTTTCGACGGTCGAGTAGACACCGATCGAAAATATATCTTAAATTTTACACATATCGTAATATTTCCTAATGGTAACTTTAAGAAATTGTACCGTCGGCGGTCGAGTATCGAACGGTAACCGCCAACGGACAGACGATTTAAACTCGGCATCCCGGAAAACTACTTTATGGTATTTTGTACCCGGCCCGGTAACTTTGTATTACGTAATTTTCCTATTCCAATGCCACCGTATTGCCGGTCCGATAGAAAGAAGGGATGGAAGTAATTCGGCGGAAGGCATTCGTCTCTTCCCGGAAGAGAGGACGGTCGACGACTACCAATTAATACCGGTCTACTACTAATATTTGAAGAGTGATCCGCGTTCGAAGGGTGGCCATGGCTAACCTTAACGTCGGACGACTCGTTCGAATAAAAAAATCTTGTAAAAATGCTGGAATAATTCCTTTCTGCCGCGATAATTTTTGGCAACGGACCGTATAAATTACGCGAGAAGTTTGTTCTCGTAAACATTGCGTTTACGGAAAAATTATTGGGCCGCAATTTGAAAAAAACTGTAGACGTAAATTCGCGCTGTCGAGAAAAATCGAGACCACGCGTGGCGGGAGGCCGGATTAACCGTATACGAACTTCCGCTACAAACCGGAAGTCGCGTTACTTCGACCGAAAATTTTCCCTTAAATGCAGTTAGATAACGGGCGCGACTCCGTACTTAACGGGAACGGTGTAACGTACGGGGGAGAGACGACGCTAAAGGAATCCAGAACGTCGTGACGAAAAATTGTAGCCCGGCGTGGCGACCAATAATAACCGGCGATAATCGCCGGTTAGAATTAGTCCGGTTTATTCGGTTACGGCCGCGCGACACTGTCGAGGAGGGACGCGTGCCGGGAAGACTTACGGGACGACGTACCGTACCCTATTTAGGCGTTACTAACGCCGAGAAAACCCGGAAAATTGCGCGTTGGTCGCGCCCCAATCGACTAACTTCCGGTGTTCGGTGGTTTTATCCACTCGGCTTCCGGAGGGCGCTTATTAAAATTGAGAAAGTACCGTTCGGAAATGAAAAACCCGCGTCGTTAGATGTGAAAGATTAAATACTTGGGGCTTTACTCCGGGTAGCGCTTTCCATTCCGCGCCAGCCGGGGGTATACGCTACCGTCTCGGTAACGATTTAGCGCGAAATAGGCTGGCTATATCGTAATCGCAGTAATTAAGTTAATGTAACGTAACGTATATATTTTTTAAATTGTCTTTTTTTTGTAAGAATTATACTTACTTTATTATTTTGTTAAATTTTTTCCAATAGATGGCGCTACGTGTAAATCGGACGTAGCTAGAAATAATTGATTTACAGAAATCCGACCGATGTTTTGGGGCGGGACGTAGACATTATCCGAGTTGGAAGTACGTAACTGCCGAGTTTCGTAGCGATCGGTCGAACGATTTGGGAGTGTACAGCGAACAAACAAACATCCTCATTTATATACGAATAGATAATACGATCGTTAAATACGCTTTAATTCTTCGCATCTAATAACGGAAGTAGCCGGTCATTACAGTATATTAATGGTATATACATACTACGATACTAGACTAGCGACGTGTCCCGAAATCCGGACGAAAATTCCGCCACTAATCAAATATCGAGACGAAATGGAAAAACTTTTTTTAGAAGGCGCCCGCGACTGGGTTTCGCCTTCCGGAGGACGGCTCGTAATTTTAAGGCATTTGTCGGCTTGGCCAGAGACGAAACGCTCGTATGTACAGTTGGTGTTAGTTTACGCAATACGATCCGAGAGACGGTCGACGCGTTGGATAAGCGGCATCTTTCGGTTTCCTTTTTCTTTTTTACTAGCGGCGAAAATAATCCTTTCGTGTTTATACGCCGTTACCCGCTGTACATAGCCGTTTGCGCGTTAGGTTACAAAGTACGTTTCTATTTATCGAGACGTTTAGAAGAAACAACTATGGTTTCGAACATTTCTAGCTTTTCCCTGTCGTTAATTCCTGTTTTTAAGAAAGTTTCGTCGCTTTCTCGACCACAAAAACGTTTAAGCGGAAAAATTCTCGACCGTAGATCGGACATTTTCTACTCTATATTTGCGACGTCGAAACCCGTAAATCTTCGCATCGTTAACGCTTCCGTACCCAATCGCGCTCGGGAAAACCAAACGTTTTCGGTTTCCGTCGGTAAATGTTCGAGGTTTTCGACTAAATCCTAGTCGGGGCGCATCCGAGGAGGGTGATTACCGTCCCGCGACATTCCCTCCGCGCCAAATTATAAGTTTATATACTTCAATTCTGAGGTAATCGAGTAACCTTCTCGAAAACCGACGCGGCCTCTCCAATATGCCGCGGGTGGCACCCGTATTCTCAAAGGCCTATAGATACGTCGCCGCTAAAGCGTTCGAAAGATGGCGTCGAATGTTTGCCGACTAAAGTTCTACGCGGCGTTTACGTCGCTGAAATTGCGGCCTAAATTTCGGATCGCGTCGTTGGCGTTCCGTCCTTCGTTTAGGATCCGGAAACGCCTGGCACTCGATAAGCCGAAAGCGGCGTGGGAAGACGCGTTCCGGCAAAGAAATTATCGAATTCGACGAAATAACCCCGCGACTTTTTATAAAAAGCCGTAGCAGTTGCCTGGAGGCGTTAAGTCGCTAATTTCTATCTGTTGGAAAACGCGCGATCTATACATTTCCCGCTATTCCTAGTCCCTTCCGGGCCGTTTGACCCAACTGGCTAACGGTGGAAAATTTTCGGCCTTTGGCATAAGACGTATATAGCGGCCAGTTTCTGGTAAGAAGCCCTCTCGGGGACGGCCCCGAGCAACCGGCCTCCGCGTTTGCCCGGTATTATCCGATTAAATCCAAGCGGGAGGAGAGACTTTTTCTATTCTTCCAGATAAGTTAGGAATTAGTTATCACCATATTCGAATAACCGGGAGAATTTCCGATCTAGCGCCCGGCAACAATAATTTCGCTTCTCCCTCGGGGATTCGATTAATCGATCGAAGCGCCGCGACGAATTTTTAAAAATATAAATATATATTAATTTTCTCGTCGGAAAGCGAAGGGCGCCCCTCGACGGCCCGGGACGCGCGCTGCCGTCCGTCCGACCAATGGCGAAAGTCCAACGTCCGGAAGGCCGACCAATGAGGAGGGGCGACGGTTACGGGATCGAGCGGTACGCCGGCATCGAAGTCACTCGAGAGTATGGCGCAACAGGTTTCGACGGTGGATCCTCCGAAGAGCAAGGAGGCCGCTCTTCTGGCCCTCATGGACAGGACCGGGTATAATATAGTTCAAGAGAACGGACAGCGGAAATTCGGGCCTCCTCCCGACTGGAACGGGCGCCCCCCACCCAAGGGCAGCGAAGTGTTCGTGGGCAAAATCCCTCGCGACCTGTACGAAGACGAGTTGGTGCCCGTCTTCGAAAAGATGGGGCGCATATACGAAATTCGTCTGATGATGGATTTCAGCGGAAGCAACCGGGGCTACGGTTTCGTCATGTACACCGGGCCGGCCGAGGCCAAGAGGGCCGTCAGGGAACTGGACAATTTCGAGATTCGCAAGGGTCGCTTCATCGGGGTGTGCAAGTCGGTAGACAACTGCCGACTGTTCGTGGGCGGAATCCCCAAAAACAAGACCAAGGAGGAGATTCTGACGGAGATGAGGAAGGTGACCGAGGGGGTGGTCGACGTCATCCTGTACAGCAGCGTGACCGACAAGTCCAAGAACCGCGGATTCGCCTTCGTGGAGTACGAGAACCACCGAGCCGCCGCCATGGCCAGGAGGAAGCTCATCCCCGGCAAGATCCAGTTATGGGGCCACGAGATCGCCGTGGATTGGGCCGAGCCCGAACCGGAGGTGGACGAGGAAACCATGTCCAAAGTAAGTCCCTTTCCGCCAAATTTCTCACTTCCGCGGATTAACGGCGGCTCTCGGCCGTCCCGAGATAATTCCGAGTCTTCCGGCGGTTTTCCGCCTTCCTTCCGGTGGTTGCGCACGTGCGACGACGGGAGGTGTCGGAAAGCCGGCGCGCGCGGGAACGGAGATTCGCTCTCCTCCCGAAACGAGCCTCGACCTTATCGGTGGCGCGAGAGATAAGAACTCGGTCCACCCCTTTAGGATAAGAGACGGGCGGACTTCGATTCCGCCGATAATTCGGGCGGTTGCCTCCGTGGCCGAATTTCGTAACCGACCGTAACTTCCGGTTTTGGACGGGGACGATTCGAACCCTCCGCCCGTCCGACGTCGGAGGTGGTTTAACTGGGTCAATTTTAACCGCAACGAAAGAAATTCGTTTCGATTGCAGAGACGGCCGATCGGTAGCCGAGCGCGAGTCGCGAGTGAACTCGGCGGCACCCGGAACCACCCGTCGCGAATGGAAACCGTTCGACCGAGGAAAACGTGGTTTTACGCGAAAAAGTGGGCGTAACGTCTTCTTCGGCGTCTCACCTAGAAACGCGCACCGGCGGAGATAACGGCCTTTATCTTTCTCCCGGCGGCCATATTGGCCGCGTTTTTATTTATCGTTCTGGTCGAAACGCGGACGAAAACGTCGGTATAAACACCCGGGGGTGCGGAACCTCGCGCCTATCCTCCCCGACGCGTATAAATGGCGGATAGGAACGTACAAGATAGAAAGAGCGAGCGTTAAGAAATCGCCCGACTACAAAAGAGTCGACGTTTATCGTCCGAGGAAAGAAAATCGCCTCGGTGGGATAAAAATTCGAATCCGGCCTTAATGTAACGGATTGGTAATACTTTATGGTAAACTAGCAGACCTCGCCACGCGTTGTGGGTCAAAATGTATCTATTATAAATGTATAACGCTTCCCCCGTGGAGGGGGAATTTTTCGAAAAATTTCTTTTTAGTGCACATTCTGTCGACGTACCCTATTAAAACGCCATCAAAAACGCAAAAAACCGCATCTAAAATAGTATAAATAGAAACAGAGTTCTTTACGGTAAGCCTTAATCCTGTCCATCTCCCTTCGGTGGGGGGAATTTCGACACGTATATTATATAAAAACACGCGCGTATTCGAATGCGGCGTTGTATCAAAATTTCAAAGGAATCGGTTGGAACAAACGAACGTTACATTTTTATGTATATAAATAGATAGAAGGTGATCCGCTTTAGTTCATTTTCACAGAAAAGCAAACTTAGGTCGTCGTACTCGTAGCGCCATCTGTTGGACATAAAAGCCTTAACCGTAGATGATATCATTTAATTTATACGAATGTTTAACGGAATAATATACGGCCTACGTCCACCCCGAAGTTCCATTCTAAATATCGGTGAAAGAATTTTTGAAATCGGACGAGTAGTTTCGGAGATTACCCGCCGCAAACAAACTTACATACTTACAAACATTACCTCTTTATAATATTAGTATAGATTTGGTATTTTGAGTTTTCTTTTTTATCCCAAGACCGTTACGCGCGCTTTGCCGTTGTACCGGTAACGCGGGTCGAAGCGTCCCTGGCAGATTTTTACATTTTCGAGAAATGCAAAAAAATTCGGGTTTTTTTCTGTACGTACGGATGTTAGTACGCGTTTAGGGGTGACGATTTAATTGGCCCCGTTGGAAGTTTAATAACTCGCGCTTTTTTGTGGAAATTTTGCGGGGAGGTTTGCGTATTAGGGGACGGACGCTTTTAAATTTTGGCGGTTAAAGGCCGAGAGAGCGGGGAGATAACGGGGTGGCGCGTATCTCCGGTAGGGTAATATTTAATACGATTTTACCGGTTATTAGCGCTTACGATTAAGCTTTCCGCCATCTTATAATACAGTAATTGAAAGTATAAAAAGCATTTAATGATAAAATGAAAAAAGTTTCTACCACCCGGCAGTTTGTCGCATGGCGTTATTATTAATAACCGGTTATTAGAACTGGTTGTTCGGCAGGAACCTTTACTACTTCAAAATATGAAATTTTCTAAAGGTAACGATGGCGGATCATTTTTTGCCTGGCACCGCGCGAGACTTTTACCTAAGGTCGAAAGAACTCGGTTAATCTACCGTACGAAATCCGCTTTCGTCGCCGGTCGTTCGTTTTAAGGGAAAACAAACGAACGGATCGGCGACATTTAGCCACTGGTTTATGGCGGCGCGAAACGAGTAAAGAACGTAGGCAAAATTGTAAAAGGAATTAAATACGAATGGAAAACAATTGTACGGTGGATAAAGAACGACGACGACGCTCGGATTCTTCTATCGAAAGAATCGTTGTAATTGTCCGTTTTTATCCAAGTAGTGTTTAGCTTTCTCGGGTAAAAATGATAAACGACACGAAACAAATAATGAGAATTTTTTAAAGCTATAGAAATGTTAGCGAAATTTGACCCCGTTATCTGGCATTACGTCGATAACGTAACGCAATCTCGACCCGCTAAAAGTCGCGCGCCACGCTTTTCGAAACGAAATCGATGCGCGAAATCAAAAATCCGGGAATTTTATAAGGCAAAATATTTTTCTATAATTGTGGAGCGTACGTCGGACCCATTTGTAGTAAGAACCGTAAATATCGATACTTCCGAAGTGGCGATTGGAGAATTATTTCTCGGATTTTATCCAATATTAGACGCTACGGGAGAAGGTTTACGTTTCGCGCCAACTGTCGACGGATTAAAAATTCGTTCTAGCAAACTCTTATCGGTTGTAAATCGAGCTATAAATCGATTTGCCATTCGCACCGCGGCCGGAGGGGTTTTTAAGGATTAAATGCGAAAAGAAAAAGAGACGAATGGTAAAACCAATCACCTAAGTACTGTATTTAATATTCGGTGGCGCGTTACGTCGTATAACCCGCGCAAAGTTTATACGAAACCGAAATCGCCTATAAAATTGACTATTTTATAAGTTATATTCTGCGATGGAGGAGAACCCGGCGTTATATTCGCTAACTTTTTGTAACGATTACGCGTAAATTATACGGAAATACTCGAAACGGCGGTAAAAATTGTGGACGTTAGGCCGGATTTATAAATTTATCGGCGCAAATCGGTGGTAGATACCGGGCAAAATACCCATTCGTTTCCTTCCAAATTCGCCTTTAGCCTACGTTAGCCGGCGGACGCGGATGTTTAATCGGTCGGCAAAAATTATTCCGAGTTCGCCCTGGGAGTTACCGCGGGCCACCGGTTAGGCTTTTCCCGCGCGCTTTAGTAGGTAATGTACCGGGCGGAGCCCAGGCTTTAACTGGACGGAGTAGCGGAGACAAATGCAAATATTGTTCCGACGAAAAGACGTACCGCCTACGTTTTCCCGGTCGACTTTCCGAGCGAAATAAAAATAATGTGGCAAATTACCCGAAAATTATCGTAAAGTTATTCGGACGAACGAGGCGAGAAAGTTATCCCGGTCAAAGGTCGGACTTTCCAGGTACCTTATACGGTACAGTACCTGGAAAGAAAATAGGAAAAGGTTTTTATGTCGGTATTTTATAACGCGTACTTCGGAGAATCTTTTAAATTTGCAAAATAATTTCGAGTAAAAATATACTTTGAGTGGTAAATGTCAGATTTTTTAATAAGGAAATAACATTTTTTAGAAAAGTTTATACGTCTTTTATGAATTTTGAAATAGATACTTTGCGTTTTATACATATTTTTAAATTTTTCTCACAGTCAATCGATTTAATCTCATAGTGTAAATGTTGCTATTCTAATAATGGCAAAAGTGTAGAGACAAAGCTCTACGAGAACGAATTTGCTAGCCGGACACGCTATTCGAGCCAGGTGTACGGCGCGAGAGTCTTCTTGGGCCAGGGCCGGATTAACCCACTTTAGGGTCCTAGACATTTTCTTCTTCCGGGTCCCCTTCCGGCTCTTTCAATTAATAAATCTTGTTACTATTATTTCTATTAAATTTCATACGGACACTGCAGCTGCTTTATAAAAAATAAAAACAAAATTATTTAACAATATTTCGCAGGATTTAAGAATACATATAGTTAACATATACTGTAGTTACTTAGAGCTTCGAGCCGAAACCATGGGGACGATTCTTCCGGCAGTCGGCCACCCAGCAATTTAGAACCGCGTAGGGAATTTTCCCGGACGGAAGTTACGTTTTAAAGAAAGGCGGAAACCCAACCGGGAACCGTCGCCCGTTTCCGGCAAACGCGTTCGTTTCCACGTTCGGCCGAAACGAACTTTTTGGCGGCGGGAGGGAAATTTGCGGATTTTGGCCAATTTTTCTATAAAATACGTCGGAAACCGTCGACGGGGAAGCGCGTAAATCGGACGAAAGACGGATTTTCCCGCGCCTATTAAAATATTCGGTCCGACCCGGTTTAAACGCTTCCGGATGGTAGTTTTTTGGCCATTAGGCGTTGTATTTCCGCCTGACGCGTTTCCCTGGGCGAAACGTAGACTGGCGTTCTTCCTTTGTACCGTTGGTCGCAAAACGGTCAAAGCGAAGATTGTCAACTTGGCGGCCCGAACCACCGCCGCGACGTTTCCTTCGGCGTCGACCTACCGTCGACGCGCCAAACTTGGCGAATTTCTTAAACGTACGCGACTTAATTTCCATTATTTTACTTTTCCTCTTATTATACGTATGGTAAATCGAAACTTGTTAAAAATTACGCGTACCGATTCGGTTGCGCGTAATTTTTTAAGTTTCGATTTACCGCGGGTTAACTTTGCTCCGCCGTACTTACGAGATGACTGCGTCCGCTCTGAAAACTATCGGAAAGAAATTTCGTCTGGCCTCTCAGACATTTTTCTCCATTTCCTTAAAAATGCGCAAAATTTACCGTTTCCGTTACCGAATATTAGCTGTAAGCCAACGATAAAAGAAGCTAGTATTTTTGTTGCCTAACTTTTCCGACTGTTATGAGATTTTATTAAAAATAACATTAATATTGTTAATTACTATAAAACGACAAAAGACTTAATTTTGAGGGTAAAAACGAGTTTGATAAAAGATTGTAAATGCTAACGACCGGTAAAATCGTTAAGTCCGAACTGTCTCGAGATACGATACGCCACCTGCCCTATCTCTCTCGCCCCTCGACTTTTAACCGCTAAAATTTAATAGTATCCGCGCCCCTTATACGCCGGCCACCGCGTCAAATTTTGCTTTTTAATCGTTAC